CAGCCGTGGCTTTGTCTGCCCGAACCTTGAGACATTTCAAGGACAAGAGTCTGTGTAACCTTCCTGCGTGCCCTAAGGGAGTGGTGAGCTGCTAGCCTGCCTCACTGCAGCCAAAATGGAGCAGAGTTAATTCAAGTTCTGCCTGCAGAGACATGGGGATTAAATGTGGAATTAATTTGCTTAGCAGGATTTCATATAAGTAGGCCTTGTCAGATAAACCTCTTCTCTTTTTTGGACAGGGCTGTAGTTTTGGTTGCTCTTCTACTGTCCTTTAGAGCAGGGTAGAAATTAAACACCACCCCAGAAGGTTGTAAAAATCTAGAATGAATTTGGCGTTGATCAGATGGGCTAAAACTAGTAGCATGAATTTTAGCATTTAGCATTTAATTATTTTAGTAAATTGATTATTGTGTACTATATTGTGTATAGTAATTGAATGTTTTTGTCTGCAGTCTGTAATTTTGTAAAATTGTTCTGGTTTGCAGGTGACAAATTGTTAGTAGCAAATGTCTAATCATCCGGAGTGTGTGAAGGAGCCTGTTAGAATGGCTGTGGTAAGAATGAAAAGCTATAGCACAGACAGGAACCTAGGAGAATACGTTTGCTTTAAGCTGTGCTCCTTGAATTATGCAGAAGTGGGAGCTGATTTCCTTCCTTTTAAAGCCTCGTATTGTGGGTGTGAGTATACTCCACCTCTGCCTTTATAGGTACACTTTCATTTATACTGTTACAATTCATCCCTTTCCTTTGGTTCTCAGTGTTATCCAGTTTTTCCAGAATGATATTGTCAGTTTCCTGTTAATAATGTTTCCTAGTGGAGGAGTGAGCCCTTACACCCACTGGTGTAGCTGCCCAAGTCAGCATGGTGGTTGATGTAGTCAATGGAGAAGACAGGTCCTCTAGGCAATGATATAGCTTGTATTCTCTGGAGAAGTCTAAATACAGCTGACTTAGCCTCTAGAGAAGACTATTTCTCTCTGATTACTATAGAAAGAGCATTAGCAAATAGATCTTAGGTGATGCATTCTTTGGTGTCTGCCAGCAACTTTTATTAATTCATAAAGACTCACACATTCCAAGATCAGAAGAACACCAAAGCAACTCTTAGGGATTTAAAACTGTGGACAGACCAGCAGAATGAGAGACTATCCTGAAAAATTGTGAGATGGTCTTGATGGTTCACTGCCAATAACCAACTCATGGTGCATCATCCTTACAGGGATGTACGGAAAGGGAGAAGTCAGGATGCAGTCTCAGTATGCTAAGTGAGTTAAAGTTCATTAGAATCCTGTGTTTAGTTCTGGAATCCACATCTCTTTGGAGAAGAACAGAGTGCAAAGTTTGAGCACTGATCAGAGGAATCTTGAGAGAAGATGAAAATGTGACAGTAGAAAAGAGGTCAGATAGGGGACAGGCAGTGTAGACTTGTAAAAACGCAGAACTAAATCTGACAGCTAGGAATGAAAGTAGAAATAAGTGAGTGTTTCTACAGGAAGAGCATAATTAATTATCTAGATGGATTAAATAAGGGGGTTGGATATGTAGTATTTCTTGAAGACTTGAGGGAATGACAATATTTTTCTAAAGAAGGTTCTAAAACAAATTGCAGTGGAAACTGTAAAGCTTCTGAGCTCAGAGGATCAGAGAATAATATCATGTGTGGTCTTCAAGTCTGTGAGAGCACTTTTTTTTGTCAGTTGTTAAGAGTATTATCACCTTAACACATTTGTCTTTAGTATTTGAAAGTTTGTCAGTGCATGCAAACATCAGAGTACACCAAGCAATTTCCGAGAATGTTTGAGAAGATGTCATCCCATGCTTGGCTTTGGAACTTGGCCAGTGTATCTGAGCTGGGAGAGGGGTTAGGCACAGCATTTTAGTGATGAAATCCAGCTGAAGCTTGAAGGGAAGAGCTGCTTCCAGAACGCTCTTGAGAGACCACTCTGAAAAAAAGACACCATGGGTATAGCAAGGAAAGCAATGAAAGTCACGTGTTACTTAAGTGCTTTCCTTCTGTTTGCTTGTAAATAATACAGGCAAGATCAATAGACTTTCACAGCAGTTTTTGCCAGCTTTCTCTCTGCTATCCTGGTACTCTTGCCTGCAAAGATAAATCAAGTGTGTTCCTTAGAAGTTGTACCTGAAATCCTTTTTGGGTAAAACTTAAGAAGTTATAAGGTGCTCCATAGTCCTTGCTGAAAACTGTATTCTCACTGTGTCTTCAGCAGAAGGTAAATTCCATTCTGGCTCACTCACTCCTACTTCCCCATAGCCAGCTTTGAAAACAGATTCCTTACCTTGGCCAAATACTGGACAGTCTGGCATTTTTCACCTTCTCTGTCAGAGCTGCAGCAGAGTTTTGGACAGATATGGGGAAGATCTCAGTCCCACACTGCCTCCTTTGTATTGCTGATGGCTTCTCTAGCGAGAAGAAATGAAGGTAAGTGCAGGGGATCTGCCTTGCACTGGGCGTGTGGATGGCACCTTGGGGTTCTCCAGGATTCTCCTTGTAGCAAAGCAGCGAGGTGCAGATTGGTGCACAGCACAACATCACTTGCCCACGATGATGAGCTCCTGTGTCTCACTTGCAGCTGTTCTTTTTGTGATAGCAAACATTTTGATTCCTTAAAAGGCATCATAAAAAGCTGACACAGAAGTCTGTCACAGTATTGAAAATTTTGGGAAATTTATGATTTTGTGTTCATTCTTCTAGCTGGTATCTTATAGAAGGATAAAAGTTATTCATGTGGTAAAAACAAGCTGTCAGAAGAATGGAAGTTCAATAAAATAATTCATTTACATCAGCTGGAGTTGGAGTGCTCATCTGGTTATCAGTGGGTCTAAAGGTCATGAGTGGTGTGCACAGAGATCTATTGTTCCTTATGCCAGGCTCATTTGTTCATTTAATAAATGCCCTGTTAGAGCAAGCACTGTAGTCCTTAAGCATAAGTTAAGGTTATGTAGATTATGTGGGGTAATCTGATCGTACAATGTGATGTGTTACAAGAGGCAGTGGTAGGAGGGCTTGAAATTAAAATGCTTATTCTCGCATGCTTTCTTTAACTACTGTTTTCCTATCTCAGAAATGTGCTTACTTGTTTGTTTTTTAATGCCCTAATTCTTAATGCTGCAGCTTAGCTATTTCATTATTGCAAGGTTCCGTCGGTTCTTGATGTTCTCCAGATGGAATCCCCATAGCTCAATGAAGTCTTCCATGTAAAACACTTCAGTAAGGTTTGCAAAATTATGTTGGATTTTGTTGATGGAGATATGGAGTAACTAGTTTATTTTTCAGTTGTCTTCTTTAGTCTTTTTTTTTTTTTTTTTTTAAACACAGAGTTCTGAAAATAATGCTACATAAAGAAACATAAAGAAAGTGCAAAGGTTGTGAAAAAAATTAAACTGCATGAATATACACTTCTTCATAGGAGTATTTGATTATAAATGTTGGTGAGCTTCTAAAGAGAAGATTGCTTATATACAATTCCAGAGCTTTCTCAGCCATGCTGATTCACACCGCTGTCAGTAAGATTCGTTCAGCCTGAAGAAGAGACTCTGCACCCTTGAGAAAAGGAAATAGGCACTGATCTGGCAGAAAGCTGCCTCCTCTCTTCTCTGTGTCGTTATATTGTGATGTTGATGTGATTGGAAAGGATAAAAGGAAAAGAATGGTAGAGTAACCATACACAGGGAAAGCTTTTGCACATGGAAGGATGCAGGTATTATGCTGTACTGAGGGATTAATGGTTAACAATTGCAAGGCTTCTCTTTGCTAGGGAGGGAGCCATGGGAAGATTAGCCAGTTTAGGGTGTCCTTCTCATAAACATACAATTGTGTACTGACTGAACAGTCTGCCCATGCAGAATCGGGCTTGGCCTCTGTTATGAACAGGATGGAAGTGGTGGGTACAATATGGTCATGCAGATTACTTGGTTCAGCTGCAGGTACTTGAGTTTCATATTAGGTAAAGGTAATGCACTGGGAACAGAGTGCAATTGCATAAGTAAGATGGCAGTTTTCATTCTGTCCAGGGAAAGAACAAACAATTACATTTCTCCAGGAGAGAATATTGAAGGGTTCCCAGAGTCAGGATAGTGTGTTTGATTTTTGTTGCCTTTCTATAAAGCCACTGTGACTTTTACAAGAGAAATGATTATTCAAGAGGGGTTTAGATGAAGGAGGTGAGAGGAGTGGTATGTGGGTTTTGTCTCAACTCTGACTTTCTACTTTGCATGTAATTGTTAAGAGCTGGAGTGTTTATATTCCTGGAGATCAGAAATGCTGCTCTCTTCCAAGCAGTGGTTACCGGTGTTTGCAGTACAAGTGTTCCCTCAGTAGAATTCTGCTTTAACAAAAGCAGTCCAAATGTAATGTGTATGTAATGTGCCCTTTTTCAGAAAGAGGTAACACACATCCACTTCTTAAAAATGGAAAAGCTCTGCAATCAGTCACTTTAAAAGAAAAAATAATCCTGGGAAAACTTTAGAAATTGCAGATAAATGAAAATCTTGACTCTGTGTTTGTAGACTATGTTTAAATCTAGATAGTTCTATCGGTAGATAGTTCTCTTGTTCACATGGGCACATGAGACATGTATCCCTTGCTCATTTCTATCCACTACAGATAAAGTGACATGATCCAATCTCGTGCCTTGTGCACATTTGTCAATGCCATAGCATCCTCTAACATCGCTAATTCAAAAGAGCTTTTCTTCAGTACGAATTGTTATTGTGCAGCCCCCAATTTTACCTTTGTTAGACATACGAAACAAGCACTCATCATTTAAGCCCACCATAAGGTGTTGGAAACTTAATCACGAATGGGAGAAAATAGTAGGCACTTGCCAGGTTTCAGAGCCAAATTGAGATGTGTCCTGTAAGACTGTAAATAGTTGTAGCCTATATATATATATATATATGTATAGGCTACATATAATATATGTATATTCTGCTAACTTCTGTACTTACTAGTTAGAAAGTTTGATGTTTTCCCTTTTCAGATGACACTGGCTGTCCTAGTAGCCAGTCAGTATCTCCAGTTAAGACTCCTTCTGATGCTGGACACAGCCCAATCAGTTTTTGCACCGGTAGTGATGGAGACTTCTCCAGGAAGAAATTCAGTGCAGGAACAATGAATGAAGGAAACTCACAGCTGGCTCGGTATAAGAAGGATACAAAGACAAGCCTTGTAAAGCCCGGTGAGTATAACATAGTTCCTTTCGTTTAAGTAATTACACTCTCTAATTGACAATTACATCTACAGGTGTCCAGATGCTTTGTATTGTGCTGCCTGTGATACAGCTAATGTTGATAGTAAATAAAAAGGATAATTAGGTTCTTTCTATGGAACCACCTGCAAGGTTTGAAAACACTGCAAGTATTAGCTTGGAAATGTAATTAATTGATGTCTTCACTTTCTTTTATGAGGCTGGGTGGTGATGTCAAATAACAACTGAAATGTATTTTATCCTATTTCATGGTAATTGTACACATAGTTCACTGGCCAAAGATAAATTAATCTTGCTATCAAAACAACAAATTGTAGTCCTCTAGTGTTAGATTGATGGTTAGACCCTGCCTAAAGTTTATGCCATCAGGCTGCAATAGCTCATGGGATACAGCATGTCAAATCAAGACAGGATAATGGGTAGAGTGCATACACGAGTTATGCAGATGTAACTGCATGGTGCATTGTCTGAATGAAGAGCTTGTCTCCCATTGCCTCAAGCTAATGGGCCACCTTGGACCACCAATTAAATCAGCACCTGCTTGTCACGCATCCAAGACTAAATGTCCTGGTGTGTCATGGGCTGCTGTAGTTTTAATGAGTAGATATAAAATGTATCTGTGAATCACATACAGACAGCTCTTGATTGCAGATTGTCAGGATATTTCTGCCTTTAGCTCTTGATTACAAATGGCCAGGATATTTTCACAGTTATTTAATTAATCTGGGAGACAGGGTGTTTTGACTCTGTGCAGAGCCAGCTGCAGAACTGACATGGTTTATGAGCTCAGATACTTCATGGCTATATTGTTTCCAGAGTTACTTTACCTCTAGAAGCATTTTAGACATTTTCATGAGGAGTCATCTCAGATTTTCCAGAGCTATATTTCTGAGGTCAGAAATAGCAGAGAATCAGTTACAAAAACTCTTCACTGGCTTGAAAGGTCTGATTAAGTCTGACTTACCGCTATCCTTGCAAAGTTCTTCGAATCATTTCATAGCTCCTGTATTACTTGTGTGTTCTCAGTCTCTCATTAGTTTGCATAATGATGCTAGATTATATATATATATTTTTTTAAGATTTGTTTCTTATTTCATTAAAATCAAGGAATTTGATGCAGGTAGAATGTGGAGAATATTGTAAACATCAGTCAAATCTGCAAACATGGCTCTCAAAACCATTTTGTATATCCTTGCAGACATAGCTTAAGAAAATGCATATAAAGAAGTTTTGAAGTTTATTCTATGAAGAGTCCTCTGCACATGGACAAATTATGCATGAGTTTCAGTAAATGACTTCACTGTTTTCAATTGTTAAATGGCAATGGTAATTTATTACACTTTTCCATTAGTTGTCAGTAGTAGCCTTCATTTTGCTTGATGGACAGAGGAAAAGGATCTGGGGGAGTTAGTGGACAGTCAGCTGAACATGAGCCTGCAGTGTGCCCAGGTGTCTGAGAATACTGGCTTATATCAGAAATAGTGTAGCCAACAGGAGCAGGGAAGTGATCATCCCTCTATACTTGGCATTTGTGGGGCTGCACCTCAAGTGCTGTGCTCAGTTTTAGGCTCCTTACTACAAGAAAGAGGTTGAGGCACTGGAGCATTTCCAGAGAAGGGCAACAGTGCTGATGAGGGGACTGGAGCACGAATCTTGTGAAGAGTGGATGAAGGAACTGGGATTGTTTAGTCTGGAAGTGAGGAAGCTCAGGGGAGACTGTATTGTTCTCTACAACTCCCAGAAGGGAAGTTGTAGTGAGGTCGGGATCAGCCTCTTCTCCTAGGTGGCTAGCAATAGGACAAGAGATGATGGCCTTAAGTTGCATCAGTGGAGACTCTGGTTGGATTTTAGGAAATGTCTCTTCTATGTAGTGAGTGGTGAGGCATTGGAACAGGCTGCCCTGGGTGGTGGTGGAGTCAATGTTCTGGAGGTTTTCAAGAAAATAATAGGTGTTTGTGAATATGAGTGATATGAACTGCAGTGGTCACAGGCATGGGTTGGTGGTTGAACTAGATGATCTTAGAGGTCTTTCCAACATTAATGATTTTGTGGTTCTGTGATTTCAGATCTTTCAACTGATTTAGTCTAGGTATTTAACAATATTTACTTTTCAGACAGTTCCTTTCCAATATTAGGCTTATCATAGAAACATAGAATCATCTAGGTTGGAGAAGACCAAGATTGTGAAGTCCAACCATCGGTGTGACCTGCTAAGCAATATCACTAAACTGTATCCCCTAGTGCTGCTTCACACGTCACTTAGATACCTCCTGGGATGGGGACTACATCACTTGCCTGAGCAGCGTGTTTCAATGCTTGACCACTCTCTCCACAAATAAATTCTGCCAAATGTCCAATCTAAACCCACCCAGGGCAGCTTGAGACCATTTGCTTGCATCTTATTATTTGTCACCTAAGAAAAGAGACCAGCACTCTCCTTGCTAGTCTTCTTTCAGGCACTTGTAGAGAGCAAGGAGGTCTCTCAGCCTTCTTTTTTACAGACCAACCACAATTCCCTCAGTCACTCCTTGTAAGTCACATTTTCCTCTGCTTTCTCCTGCTTTATTGCTCTTCTCTGCACACACATTCATATTTGTCTGTACCTCTACTCTCGCTACATTTTTTGAGTTACCTGAGCAGTTTCAGTTAAATTTTTGTAATAGTAGAAACATCAGTAAGGTTGTACAAATGTCAGTTGAAAGGCTAAAAGGGCAAAAGCAACCTGAGTAGAGTTTTAATTCACTTAGGGTGAAAAAATAAAAAGGATTCAAAATCAACTTGTTTCATTAGTGTACTGCTTATTTGACTGCTTTTAATGTTATTTTGGGGTAAGACAGACATACAATGATCCTCATCCATTCATTTGTGGCTTTAACTTGTTGTCTTTGTAGCTTTCTCTTAAAATGTGGTTTGTTCATACAGGTAGAGTAGGCATCAGTGCTTCTGTGCTCATTAACCTGTAAGTTTGGAAACTGGTCTCTAGAGCTCCAGATTGTTGCTCCTGGGATCCATCAAAGCTCTTCAGGCAGGAAATGGTTCCCATTGCTGTCTCTTGGTTTCAAGTGGATCTAGTCCATTCCCTTGACATTTTTGTGCATGAATTTCTGGTGACCTGGAAGATATGGCCCTTGTACAAAGAGAAGGCATTGTCTTATAGCAAAACTTGCAGGGAGCAACAGGGGAATAGTAGAAAGGAAATGGATGTGGGAGGAGAGTAGCAGCAGTATATCCTTGTTGTACATACAGTTCTATACACAGCTGGATCCCTTGGATTTCAGTGCAAAAAGAGTTGTGCATAATATCTTTATCTCTACCATGAGTCCTTTCTGATTTATGAAAATAATCTCTATGCAGTAATTTATCTAGAATGCCTTGTGATAAAGACTGTGTAGCAGTAATGACTACACAGCAGGAGCCAGATGTAAGATTCAAAAATCCAGTCTACCTATAACTTTTATGGACTGTGTCCTGTGCTACATTTTTTGTGTGAGCACTTCAGTGTACACCTTCAAAATGCATATTGTTTTGCAGAAAATTTATTGTTTTCCAGGATTGTCTTCTTGGAACATGCTGAATTTCAGAAGTAACACTCACACAAATATTTAGATAATTCAGGAAATGTCAGAGTGGGATAGCACTGCGAATGAACCCTTGGGACTTTTTTAGGCTGTTCCCAAACTCCAGTGCTTTTCTTTTATGCTAGCAGTATCACTTAATCTCTCTTTTCTACACTTCAAATTATGAAATATGACATTGGTTTCTTTTCTCTAACAGCCTAAGAATCTCAGTCATACTCTGTTCTTGAAGTATTATCAAACAAGATTTGGATGTCCTTCATAATTTATGTTGTTTGCATAATGAACCATACTTAATCCTGGAATACATTATCGCTACATCTTGCTAACCTTTGGAAGATTTATAAGCATACAAATGTTATGCATCTGTTGATAATGTTTCTACTGTGCATTAAATGTAAACCACAGCAGTATTATAGGTAAATTTAGCTTAAAATCTGTGGCTGTTTCCCAGGAAGGAATGGAGAAGACAGTTACATTAGGGAAGATACTTACAGTCCTTTCCAGGATTGTGTTAGAAGCCTTTTAATTTCAAAATTTCAGAACTTATTCCCTCTTTGGGGGTGTGATTTGTTTTTGCAGTAATAAAAGCAACAGAAAATGCACTACAGGAAACTGCTCTGCAATAAGACTCAGTAAGTCTAATTAACACTAGTCCTAATTCTGCGTCACAATATTGTGCTGTATCCTGCAGCTTCTGTAAGTAAATAAACAGCAGCATGGACATTTCTAAGTATTCACCCTCCTGTGCTGCTGCTTCTTTGGAGGATCCATCCTGAATTCCTGCACCTCATGTCTAGATCAAGATGACAGTCTTTCTCATCTCATTTTTTTGCCTTCTGTAAAAATACTTAGTGCGAGGATTCAAAATCTGGTCCTGTAAGTTGGAAAGTCACGATAAACTAACAGAAATATATGGATAAGGAAAGGAATCTTGAGCAAGGATTGTCAATAACTTTTTCAAGTCTTATATGTTTAAAATAACACAAAGCTGTGCTTGAATTTCAATGTCCATGAGCATCATAACTTAAGAATGTGTTCAGCTTTTTTGACAAAAGTCTGATCATTGCCTTCTTACCTCTGATGCCATGGGCAGCCTGGGTCCAGCTTACTGAATGAGCTGTGGTTGGAGTTGTCCCTGAGAACTGATTGAGTTACTGAAGTTTAAATTATTAAGACTTATAAAACATGGAGATTTTCCCACCCTTGTCCCTTTTGCACCTTTATAGGTCCCTTCCAATCCAAGCCATTCTGTGATGTATGCATAACTGCATGAAACGGGTCCTAGGTGAGCAGCAGTTAGGGTCAGTGCCCAAGCCTTGTAAAGGCTGACTGTTCATCACTCACAGCTCGTTTCAGTAAAACCACACCAGGTAGCAAAAAGCTACAAAAAAA